CGCCCCCACCAACATCAACTGGTCTCTTACCATGTTGACTAAAACAGCCACTTTGCCCTTTGCTCGGCTTTCCAGGTGCCTCTTGCAAACATAGGCAGCTGCTCGGGTTTTTCCTGCCCCTGTTGGCAGCCATATGATGATATTCTTGCCTTCCAAGGCAGGTTCAATTACTTCCCACTGATATTCACGGAGCTCCATGGTTTGAAGTCCTGGAAATCAGTGCTAATAGTATGAAGAAGTGTAAGGACCCATCAGTTCAGCACAACCCTCAACCACAATACATTCCTCTATGTCTCATAAAGCTTTTTTGGTTTTTTAAACTCTGTAATTTCTAAGAAGACTGGATAGATCATGGGAACAGAGACAAAACCTGGGATGAAGATGGTGGAGATAGAGACAAAGCTACGTCTGACTTAAAAATTGGAAATAAAATGGTGCCGACTGTAAACCGCCTTGAGTCGTCGTCAGGCTGAGAAAGGTGGTATATAAATACGGTAAATAAATAAATAAATAAATAAATCTACACTGTAGAATTAATGCAGTGTAGAATTAATGGAAGCTGTAGTTTTAGCTTTCTCTGTCAAAGAATGCAGTTCCTCACCAAATTACAGCTCTCAGGATTCCATAGGATTGTGCCATAGCAGTTAATGCAGAGTCAAACTGCATTAATTTCATAGTGAAGATGCAGTCTAAGATTCAGTGTGAAGGATCTGAAGAGAATTGTGGAAGTAAGACAAAAGATGGAAGTCAGGGTTTAAAATGACCCCACATCGTTGGGGGTAAATTGAATGGAATGAAAAATTGCTAGGGGCTATTTACGTAATTCTGGGAAATAAAAATATTTATTTATTTTCTACATTTATAACTCACCCTACTCACCCCAAAGAGGACTCAGGGTGGCTCACAACAAAGGCACAACAACAGGACCATAGCAATTTTATCAGGGGACATATATTAGTATGACTGTGTCAATATATTTGGTGCCATTTAGATGGGTATGGCAGCCAGCCCAAAGTTTTATGTAGATAACTGGAGTGACAGAATGTTCCTCAAGATATGGACACTTAAGAATAAAATATTAAATAAATAACATTTGCTCTTAGTTTTTATTCTGGATTCTGGTTAAACTCATCCCTGTTTTCCAGAACATGATTAATCTATTTATATATTGATTTTGGATAGCTTGTTTTTAATAACTGTTTTTAAATCGTGTAGTTTATCAGAGGATTTTAATATAAATGTTATTGTATTGTCGATGTTTAATTTTATGGTTTATGTCTAAATGTCATTTCATGTTTATATTTTAATTTGGTTAGGTTAATTAGGAAAGCCCCTACTTTGGAAACTTTTAAAAAGAGTCTCAAGACCTGGCTCTGCCATTGTGCTTTTGGAGAATAGCCACATAATTTTATGCTAGTGTTCCCCCAACGTTATTGTCCCAGGAGTCCCTCCCCCCCATGTATGTAGGTTTGCTTATTTTCCTATCTCTCTCTGAGTTCTCCCTTACAATTAGTTCTGCCCCCTTATCTCACCTGGGGTTTTTAAAAACATTTTATGTACATGCAGCCCACCCTCTGTCATTTTGTTATTATGTTTAGTTCCTATGTTCTGTGTATATTGTTTTATATGCTTTGATGTTTTATTTTAATGTTATGTTGTTATTTTATTGCAATTTGTATTGTTATATTGTAATTCTTGTTTGGGCTTGGCCCCATGTAAGCCGCTCTGAGTCCCCATTGGGGAGATGGTGGTGGGGTACAAATAAAGTTTATTATTATTATTATTATTATTGTATTGTCGAAGTCTTTCATGGCCGGAATCACTGGGTTGTTGTAGGTTTTTCCGGGCTATATGGCCATGTTCTGGAGGCAATTTTTCTCCTGACGTTTCGCCTGCATCTATGGCAAGCATCCTCAGAGGTAGTGAGGTCTGTTGGAAATAGGAAAAATGGGTTTATATATCTGTGGAATGACCAGGGTGAGACAAAGGACTTTTGTTTGCTGGGGCTAGATGTGAATGTTTCAGCTGATCACCTTGATTAGCATTCAATGGCTTAGAAACATGAGGGATCCTCTCACCTCTGCAGGAGTCTACTGTGTACCATGCAGCTGTGGACAAGTCTACATAGGGACCACCAAACGCAGCGCCCAGACACGCATCAAGGAACATGAAAGGCACTGCAAACTACTCCAATCAGAGAAATCAGCCATAGCAGAGCACCTGATGAACCAACTTGGACACAGCATATTATTTGAGAACACAGAAGTGCTGGACCACTCTCACAACCACCATGTCAGACTACACAGAGAAGCCATTGAAATCCACAAGCATGTGGACAATTTCAACAGAAAGGAAGAGACCATGAAAATGAACAAAATCTGGCTACCAGTATTAAAGGACTCAAAAATCACAACAGCAAAACAACAGAGGGGAAACAAACAGGGACATAAAATCACTCTCAACAAGGGATTCCCCCCGGGCATTTCTAAGCCATTGAATGCTAATCAAGGTGATCAGCTGAAACATTCACATCTAGCCCCAGCAAACAAAAGTCCTTTGTCTCACCCTGGTCATTCCACAGATATATAAACCTATTTTTCCTACTTCCAACAGACCTCACTACCTCTGAGGATGCTTGCCATAGATGCAGGCGAAACGTCAGGAGAAAAATTGCCTCCAGAACATGGCCATATAGTCCGGAAAAGCCTACAACAACCCAATTATTATTATTATTATTATTATTATTATTATTATTATTATTATTATATTTAGTTACATGTTATTGTTTTGTTATTATCTTTTGGTTTTCACATGTATGTACAGCATTGAAGTTTGCCTTTATAATATTGGAAACCACGTTGAGTTCCCTTCGGGGGAGAAATGCGGTATATAAATGTAGTAAATAATAGTAATAATAACATACTGTTTGAAAAGGACATGTGTATGCAGTTCAAAGGAATTATAAGAAACTGCCTGGTTTGTTTCCACGTCAGAAGCTAAGCTTTGCAGCTCTGAACGAGTCAGTAGTTGGGTGGGAAGAAACTTCACCCATGAATTATAAAATAGCTTGTGGTATCCTGAAAGAACAACTAACCTGTGCTAGTATACACTTTTGTTAATAGTCTCTTTCATCAGATGTATGAGAAATTAATTGGTAGAAACCATTTGTCTTTCTGTCACATTCTCTAACCCTCCCATCACTCTCTTCCATACCAAGACACAATGGCATTTCTAAGGAAAGCTCAACTTTAGACAAGATAAATCTAGATTAGATCAAACTAATGAATGATAATAGCAGTCACAAACATTATGTTTTTTATCTAGCTTTCTTAAAATTAAATCATCACTATTCATGAAACCGGAGCACCCCCCCCTCCCCCCCACAAACAAACAAACAAACAAAACCCTTGGTTTCCAATCAGTCCTAAGCAAATTATTCAAACTTCAATGTTGTTTCAGCAGTTTTACCTTGGAAGCTGCCCTTTAAACCCATCAGATTAGCAATTCTTATTACCTGCTTGTCAATAAGAAAAATACATACAAGCAATCTTTCAATATCCTATTGACTACAGTGCAACTTGATTCACTAACAGTTATTGCTGACCTCAACATATTACAGTAGTTTAGATACGAGTTTTGCCTACAGAAGGTAAGCTTCTACTTTTCCCCTCTCTTTATTGTTAATTAATTACAGGTACCTCTCCGCCTTTAGTTTCAGTGCCTCTTGTATGTTGTGATGCTGTTGTTTCTGTTTTGTTTCTTCTCAGCCTCTGGAGAAGTTTCCCATCCCTCTGAGCCTTTTACTGTCTTTCCCTTCTAGCTAGAAAAACGAAACCTAGAAGTGGCTTTGACAGTCTGGGAGCCCCAGGAAAGGGGGATCTCGACAGACGCAACTGCAAGACATGTCAAATCTCCTTGTGACAGAACCAACCACAAGATTTCCTGCCCCCAGAGACCCACCAGTGAAGCAAGAAGCAAAACAAAAATTCACAGTCATATGCAGAGGAAATCCCCATTGTGTCCAAATAGGTCTTTCTGTGTTTAATGAGTCCAGCCATATCCAGATTCTGTATCAATAGAGTCTATTAAATCTATAGTGTAAAAGGCATGCTTAGAGGTGAGATACCCAACGCCTGCACTACAATAGGTACATCTGTAGAATTAATGCAGCTTAACACCCCTTTAACTGCTCTGGAAGTTGTATTTCTGGCATAGGAGAGGGATTGGCTGGTGACTGCTGGAAGAGCACTTTTGTTTTCTTGATGTTTAATGACAGGCCGAGCTTCTCGTAAGTTTCTGCGAAGGTGTTTAGAGTGGCTTGTAGGTTTTCTTCTGAATGCACACAGACGACGTTGTCATCAGCATATTCAAGTTCTATAACAGATGTTGTAACCTTGGTTTTGGCTTTCAGACTGCTGAGGTTAAATAGCTTGCCATCTGTTCGATAATGATTTCCACTCCAGTGGGAAGCTTCCCGTCAACAAGATGAAGTATCATAGCGATGAAGATGGAAAATAAGGTTGGGGTGAAGCATCTGACCAAAGCACCCATTGGTATTAACGAACAACTATCAACCATCCGATTTAACCTTGCCAAAAACCAAAAGGCAACCGTCATAAATGCCTATGCACCAACACAGACTCAGAAGCAGAGTGGGCAGATCAAAAGACAACCTGGCAAAATGGCACTACCTAGAAGAATCCTCCACCTTGTGTGACTGCGGAGCAGAACAGACAACTCCGCACCAGTATGCTTGTCCACTACACTCTGCTTCATGTACAAAGGAAGAATTATTGGAGGCTACAGACAATGCGGTTGCTGTTGCCAGTTTTTGGTCAAAAGATATTTAGCCACTTGTGCTCCTTCTATTTGTATCAGTAAGAAGAGCTGTTCAGCAGTGGAACTCTCTGCATCGGGAGTGTGGCAGAAGCTCCTTCCTTGAAAACTCCTCATATTGCACTTCCTTCCACCTTTCTGAAGGCCTATCTCCACTATTCTGTCCCCTACAAGCTCCTCCCTTACAAATATTCCTTTTTTATTTTTATCTCATCCAGAGGTTTATCATTTTACGTCATACATTTGGCTCACCCATTGCATTTGATTTTTCATTTTGTTACTTTGAACTGCTTTATTGTACTTTTAGGTTTTACTTATTTTATTGTGATGTTATTTTTGTCGCTCTGTATTTATTTTGCTGTAATGTTGCCTGAGGGCTGAAAAAAGCGGTATATAAATAAAGTAAATAATATATAAATAAGGTAAATAAGTAATGTACTACCGGGCTTGGCCTCATGTAAGCCGCCCCAAGTCCCCTTTGGGGAGATGGTGGCGGGGTATAAATAAAGTTTATAATTATATTATTATAAACTTTTAAACAGAGGCTGGATGGCCATCTGCCAGGGGTGCTTTGATTGTGCTTTTCCTGTATGGCAGGGGGTTGGACTAGATGACCCAGGTCGTCGCTTCCAACTCTATAATAGGCATGAGCAAGTGTAATGATTCTTACCTAGTAGGCTGAAGGAGAAGCCAGGGATATCAGTGAGGTAGGCCTCCGTTTTGGGAGTGTACGCAAAGGAAGCAGACATCTTGAGAGGGTAAAGTGAGAAGAGGGGAGGAGCTGAAGATTTCTTAGGATTGGTTAGGACAGATGGGAGGAGTTAAGTCCTGAGAGGGAAAAGTGTCAGCTTCACAGAGAGAAGGGTTTTAGGAATGGAAGAAGAGAGATTGAATTTGGGAACAGAAGAGAGAGGAGAGGTATTTTTGGGCTTAGGATTTTTCTGACAGAGAGCGTTTGTGACAGGCAAGGCTGCATTATTGGCCAGGATGGTCAAGTAGTCGCCTGGGTGCTTGTGTGGGTTTACACAAGTGCTTTGCTCTCTGGGTAGAGTAGATTAGCCATATAGAGAACTCTGCTTAGAGTGGGCTAATTGCTCTGAAGACAGCCTGAGTAGATTAGTCTAGGGAACTCACTGCTACTGTATTATTGTAGAGTGAGGAGTTTTACTAGTGACTAAGTCAAGTAATCTGTTTAAAGTAACCATCAAGCATACTGTACTGTAGTAACCATTTAAGCTTTTGTGCCTCCTCAAAGAAGACAGTTGTTTGTTTGATCTTATCAATAAATCTTTTATCTATTTCAACTTTTAAAGAAGCCTCGGTTGTAATTCATTCCTGTGAGAATAATCCTAGTTGTTTTAACATCTTAACATCACAGTCATCTCAGGGAGCTAAGGGAGAAGTGTGTGGCAAGGAAGAAGTTAACCTCAGAGAATCATTCTTCAATATCCTGAAGTATTTTAGGTGGTGGCAGCAAATCTACCAGAGTACACACTGTGCTGGTACAGCTGTACCAGGAGCTCCAATTCTGTTTGCTTTGCATTAAATGTTTGTTTGCAATCCCAGGCTTGGGATTTTGTAGCAAGGTGGCTTCCTGTTATAGGTTGCAATCATAGGGCAAGCCACCTGTCAATTATCGTTAGGTTCCCTGATCCCACCCCTTTTTGAGTTTTAGTGGGAATAGGAGCCATTTTGAGTTCAGTCCACACAGAGCAGCTTTCCATACAGGACATGAAACCAAGAGCTCCTGTAGAAAGCTTCGTCTTCTACGGCTTGGCCAGGGAGATATACAGCCTACAGCTTGGCCGGGGTTATACAGCCCACGGCTTGGCCGGGGAGACACAGCCCACAGCTTGGCTGAGGATTTTGCAGCCTTACAGCTCCTTTGCTGAGGGACTTCAGCTGGCCATCAGTGAAACCTGAACTCCTTTTTTTCCCAAGGAAGTCTACAAAGCTCTGCTTGGTAAGGGCCGCTTGCAGAAGCCAGACGCAGTTGGTTCCGGGTGCAGGGACTCCACGCCAACAGAGGCAAGTACAGAGAGCAGAGGCTGCCCAGATTAGAAGTTAAGGATTTCCCCATTAGTTAGTATACAGTTATGAAGATAGTGCCTGTTCCCAGTGAACAAGATTGCAAGAACCAATAGACTGTTAAGAAAGCTTTAAAGAACCTGTTTGTTTTCATCAATAAAGAACTTTGTTGGACTTACTTTAAGCCTCTACAGAACTCTGTTTGGGGGGAATCCAAAGGCCTTTAATCTGAGGCAGCCCCGGCGTCCCGTTGGGAATTTATGTCCTGTCTACAGTCATATGCACAGGCCCAGTGTGCGACAGCACACACGTTACCTCATATATATATACACAAACACTCCGTGAAAGAACCTATATTCCTTTATACTTGTGTCAGCAGGTGGGGTGTGTGATATATTTTCCCCCCTGACAGCGTAAAAGGTCACTTCACCTATATGTAATTTCGTTACGAGTGGTGACCAGCGGTGTAATTTAGAATAGCATACTTATAATAACTCCGTATCAGGATCACGTTCCTTTATAGCAGTGTTTCTCAACCTGGGGGTCGGGACCCGTGGAGGGGTCACGAGGGGGTGCCAGAGGGTTCACCAGAGACCACAAGAAAGCACAGTATTTTCTGTTGGTCATGAAGGTTCTGTGTGGGAAGTTTGGCCCAATTCAATCGTTGGAAGGGTTCAGAATGCTCTTTGATTGTAGGTGAACTATAAATACCAGCAACTACAACTCCCAAATGTCAAGGTCTATTTTCCCCAAACCCCACTAGTGTTTACATTTGGGAATATTGAGAATTTGTGCCAAGTTTGGTCCAGATCCATCATTGTTTGAGTCCACAGTGCTCTCTGGATGTAGGTGAACTACAACTCCCAAAACTCAAGGTCACTGCCTACCAAACCTTCCCAGTATTTTCTCCTGGTCATGGGAATTTTGTGTGCCAAGTTTGATTCAACTCCATTGTTGGTGGAGTTCAGAATGCTCTTTGATTGTAGGTGAACTATAAATCCCAGCAACTACAACTCCCACAGGACAAAACTAATACTCTCCCCCAATCCCACCAGTATTTAAATTTGGGTGTATTGGGTCTTTGTGCCAAATTTGGTCCAGTGTATGAAAATACATCTTGAATATCAGATATTTACATTACTATTCATGTTGTTGTTCATTCGTTCAGTCGTCTCCGACTCTTCGTGACCTCATGGACCAGCCCACGCCAGAGCTCCCTGTCGGCCGTCACCACCCCCAGCTCCTTCAAGGTCAGTCCAGTCACTTCAAGGATGCCATCCATCCATCTTGCCCTTGGTCGGCCCTCTTCCTTTTACCTTCCACTTTCCCCAGCATAAGTGTCTTCTCTAGGCTTTGCTGTCTCCTCATGATGTGGCCAAAGTACTTCAACTTTGTCTCTAGTATCCTTCCCTCCAATGAGCAGTCGGGCTTTATTTCCTGGAGGATGGACTGGTTGGATCTTCTCGCAGTCCAAGGCACTCTCATTATACTAACACCACAGCTCAAAAGCATCGATCTTCCTTGCTCAGCCTTCCCTAAGGTCCAGCTCTCACATCCGTAGGTTACTACAGGGAATACAGCAAAATGGCAGTTATGAAGTAGCAATGAAACTAATTTTATGGTTGGGGGTCACCATAACATGAGGAAGCGTATTAAGGGGTCGTGGCATTAGGAAGGTTGAGAACCACTGCTTTATAGCAAGCTTGGGCCCTCCAGGTAGGCTGTTAGGAATTGTGGGAGTTGAAGTCCAAAACACCTGGAGGGCCCAAGCTTGCCCATGCCTGTTCTATTCTAATTGCACTCTTTGGCCTTGGAAAACTCCCATGATTTCACAGCCTGGGGTTAAAGTGCATCCCTTCTACAATGGAGAAGGCTCTATAATGCAGCCTAAGTACTTCATCACTGGAGTATCTCTCTATCCTAGTACCCACTTTCAATCCTCCTGCTGAATCCTAGCGTTTGAGGCCCCCAATGCGGCCTCCTGCCTCCGTTTCCTGCTTCCCCCGCCGCCCTCTAGGGGGAAACAACGGTCCCAATTGCAGCTGCACTACAACTCCCGGCAGCCTTTGCGAAGGCCTGGCCTCCTGCGGTGGTGCGCATGCGCAGGGCCTGCCGGGAGTGAGCGGGGCCGGCGCCAGTGGTCGGCGGCGGGGGAAGGTGCCAGAGCTCGTGCCCTTCCCTGCCGCCGCCGCTTCCTCCATTCATTGCCCTTCGCCTCCTTCTTGGCCCGCTCGCCGCCATGGAGGCGCTGATTCCCGTCATCAATAAGTTGCAGGACGTCTTCAACACGGTGGGCGCCGACATCATCCAGCTGCCGCAGATTGTGGTGGTGGGCACGCAGGTGAGGCGGGCCGCTCGGGGGCGGGGCCTGGGCGCGTGTGGGCGGGGCCTGGGACACAGTGGGCGGGGCTTAAGCCAGGATGACCTCCACCTGGCCAGAAGGTCTAGGGGTTCTGTTGGAGGGGGTGGGGGGAGGGGGTAAAGGATACTCTTATCAATATTTGTATTTGGGGTTTTATTATTTGGTTGGGGTGTTGGCCTACAAATGTACTTCTCCCTTAATCTGAAATGCTTGGGACCAGGCTTTTCACCAGACTAAGGCGAAAGTCTTGCAAGGCCTGCAATATCTTGTCACTTAATAAATAGTTGATTAAATATTTCCATAGGAATACTGTTTTGTTTTTTCATTTCCAGTTTCCATCTTTCCAATACTATAGAATCATATTTCCAATATTATTTTACAACACAACAATTTCCAGTAACAAAGCATCATATTTCCAATATTATTTTCCAATATGATTTCCAGAACCGTAGCATCATATTTCCAATATTATTTCCAGTGCAACAATTTCCAATACCGTAGTATCATATTTCCAATACCATTTCCAGTACAATGATTTCCAGTACCATAGCATCATATTTCCAGTATTATTTTCCAACATAACCATTTCCAGTACCATAGCATCATATTTCCAATATTATTTTCCAACATAACCATTTCCAGTACCATATCATCATATTTCCAATATTGTTTTCCAGTGCAGCAATTTCCAATACCGTAGTATCTTATTTCCAATACCATTTCCAATACAATGATTTCCAGTATCCTAGCATCATATTTCCAATATTGTTTTCCAGTGCAACAATTTCCAATACTGTAGTATCATATTTCCAATACCATTTCCAATACAATGATTTCTAGTACCATAGCATCATGTTCCCAATATTATTTTCTAGTACAACAGTTTCCAATAGCATTTCCAATACAATGATTTCCAGTACCATAGCATCATATTTCCAATATTGTTTTCCAGTGCAGCAATTTCCAATACCGTAGTATCATATTTCCAATACCATTTCCAATACAATGATTTCCAGTACCATAGCATCATATTTCCAATATTGTTTTCCAGTGCAGCAATTTCCAATACCATAGTATCATATTTCCAATACCATGATTTCTACTACCATATTATTATATATCCAATATTATTTTAAAATACAGAAATTTCCAATTCCATAGTATCATATTTCCAATTCCATTTCCAATACAGTAATTTCCCATATCATGGCATCATATACAGTATGTTTAGGTAATACATTTACAACAGTGGTTCTCAATATGTGGGTCCCCGGGTGTGTTGGCCTACAACTCCCAGAAATCCCAGCCAGTTTACCAGCTGTTAGGATTTCTGGGATTTGAAGGCCAAAACATCTGGGGACTCACAGGCTGAGAACCAAATCTCATCAATGGTGTCCAATACTATAGCATCATATACAGGATACAGGATATTTTAGGACCCCCTTGTGACCCAAGTCCAAATATGTAATTTATTTATTTACCCTCTCTCTCTCATTGAAGGACTCAGAGCAGCTAAATTGGATTTTTTTCCCCAATACACCTTAACCACATAACCTGAGGATAATTTTATATGGGATATTTTAAATAATTTTGTGCGTGGAGCAAAGCTTGCATGCATTAAACTATCAGAAAAGTAAAGGGGCCACTTTGAGTGAAATTCACTGTGAAATTAATGCAGTTTGACACCACTTCCCTAGCTTAGTGTCATGGGATCATGTAGTTTTACAAGGTCTTTAGCCTTCTCTGCCAAAGATTATTACAAACCCAAGAATACCATACCATTGTGCCATTGCAGTTTTCAAATTGCATTTACAGTATAAATGCGCCCTATGCCAGCCCCCCAAGTGGACAGTTTTGTGCTTTGGAGGATTTGGGGTTCCTGGATAAGGAATATTCAGCCTATTACTGCTTATTGCAAGTATTATCCAGTGTTGGTTAAGTGGAGAATTATTAGTGTTCAGAGCACATTGCAATCCCTATGGGTCTCCTGCTTAATGGCATGCTGCCCAGTTGAAGGGGATGCGTTCAACATTGGAGGATTGAAGTGGGGTGGGGAGATAGGATTTTCAGATCCTGTCCTAATTAAACAATTTGTTCCTGAAAGATAAAAAGCAGCCCTGGATGACATCTTGGAGGCACAGACTGTCCTATTGCTACTGAAGCTTTTGCAATGCCACACAGTACATACTCTCTTTAAGATTGCAGCAACAGTCTACATTATTAGTATTCAGTGCAACAGACTTATGTATTAGATTTAGACTTTTAAAAACCACCAAGGCGGTTCTGGCAGAAAAAAGGCTGGTTAGGAGGTTCCTTGGGGACATTGAGATAGCTGTTCTTGGAAATGGGAGTGATCTTGCTCTGAGCTAGAAAGACAATTCTGATGTCCTTAAAGCTGAAAGGAAACAATATGAGTGTCATAAATGCAAAGATAATACATAGATCTTTAGAACACTGTTGCATGTGGAGTCTGAAGGTTCATCTACACTGCAAAATTAATGCAGTTTGAAACCTTTTTAGCTGTCGTGACTGAATATTAATGGGATTCTGGGAGGTGTAGCTTGTTTGGCACCAGCAGTCTTTGAGATAGAAGACTAAAGTTCTTGTAAAACTACAACACCTATGATTCCATAGCATTGAGCCAAGGCAAGTAAAGCAGTGGCAAACTGCATTAATTCTACAGTGTAGATGTGCTTTCAGTGTACAGTGGTCCTTAGAAGTGTATGTGAAATCATGTCCTCACTTGGAGCATGTAACGGCCATTGTCATGATAAACAAACTGGGGAATTCAAAGATTGTGATGCTGTCCAGTTGGTCCATACATAACATCAGAAATCCCCAAACTAAGGCCTGCAGGCCGGATACGGCCCTCCAAGGTTATTTACTTGGCCTTGCCCTAAACTTTAGACCAGGGGTCCTCAAACTTTTTAAACAGAGGGCCAGGTCACAGTCCCTCAAACTGTTGGAGGGCCGGAATATAATTTGAAAAAAAATGAATTCCTATGCATACTGCACATATCTTATTTGTAGGGCAAAAAGCACTTAAAAACAATACAATCATTAAAATGAAGAACAATTTTAACAAATATAAACTTATTAGTATTTCAATGAGAAGTGTGGGCCTGCTTTTGGCTGGTGAGATAGGATTGTTGTTGTGTGCTTTCAAGTCATTTCAGACTTTGGTTGACCCTGAGCGAGGGCCAGGTAAATGACTTTGGAGGGCTATATCCGGCCCCCGGGCCTTAGTTTGAGGACCCTTGCTTTAGACTATGGGCCGCCCTAAGTCTGAAATGACTTGAAGGCACACAACAAAAACAATCCTAATTAACTTGACTATCTCATCAGCCAAAAGCAGGCACACACTTCCCATTGAAATACTGTTAAGTTTATGTTGGTTAAAATTGTTCTTATTTTACATATTGTATTCTTTCTTTCTTTCTTTCTTTCTTTCTTTCTTTCTTTCTTTCTTTCTTTCTTTTGCATTACAAATAAGATATGTGTAATGTACATAGCAATTCATTCACTTTTCAAACTATAATCCGGTCCCCCAACAATCTGAAGGACTTTGTAATGGCCCTCTGCTTAAAAAGTTTGAGGACCCCAGCTTAAGATTGAATGTGAATCCCTAGGCCAATATATTCTTCAGCTGTGTATAATGACTCAAGTGAGTTTAAAGACTGGGGGAAAAAGAAAGAGTGAAAGGGACGTGAGAAGAACAAGGGAGATTATTGAAGCACATGAGAAATGATTTTGAGAACAGACTTGAGGCATATGATATAGTTCTGCTAAAGTATAACAAGGCTGTGACTTGTTTGCTGCCTGGCTGAGTAATGAGCAATACAGAAACCACTTTCAGTTCTGTGGAAAAAGGGTGTGGTTATAACTGCTGATCAATAAATCAGGGATGAAAACCTGAAAATGGGACGACCCGAGACATGAAGTTGTAATTGTTATCCAGGATTAAAAAATGGGAAAATGAAGACTATTTAGAGGTTCTTTGGAGACTGGTCTGAATCAAGTCATATTCCAACTAGAGTAGACCTGTTAAAATCAATAGGACTTAAGTAAGCAGTGACATACAAGTATCATTCACTTGAGTGTATCTGATGTTCAGACTAAGATTGGATTTATCTCATTTATAGCACTTGGGCAAATAAATATGCGGAAAGAGAGCCAGATATCTAAATCTCAGGGCATTTAGGGCTTTAAAGATAAGCTTGGACTATGCCTCAGGAAACCAGGTTTTGAATCCCCACTTGGCCACAAAAACCTACTGGGTGAGCCTGGGCAAATCACATACTCTCAGCCCCAGAAACTCCTGTGATAGGATTGCTAGAAGTAGTAAACAACTTGAAGACACACAACAAAGACAAGAGTCTACAGGTATTGCACATTCCTTTCAAGCCCTGACCAGTAATTTGTTTGCTTTCTTTTCTTTTTAAATGGCTCTCTTGCATATAGCTTTTTTTTGGCCTTAATTCTTATTTGTTTAGTATAGAGACGTGTTGATTTTTATGCCCTAATGGCATTAATCATCACATCACCCTTGGATGCAGCTTCATTTTGGACTGAATATGTTGATTTCTCCTGTTGTGCTTTCCTCCTCCATGCCTCTACTTGCTTCATGCTTCACTGATACTACTAAGTTGGAAAATATGCTTTGTTGAACTTCGGTGACCTAATTTTTAATCTCCGTGGACCCAATTTAGACCTACTTGGAAAGTGTTCCCATGTAGAACTGGAGCAGTATTACACAGATGTCCCTGCCTTGCTTTTCCAGCTGTATTTTATATCTATGAAAAATTAATGTTAGAATTCCCTTTTAAGATCAGAGGGAGTTCCATTTAGTAGCTGAGTGGTCTAGTACTTTTTCTGTTGTATGTGCAGGAAAGGGAACAAATCTTCTTGTAGGTTGCTTTGCAGTTATTACTTAGGGTGGATCGATGTTGCTGTACATATAGACCTTCGTACAAAAATGG